AGAGCTCTGGTGTTCTTGTCCTGGTTCCAACACAGATTTACACCACAGTCCCGGACAAGCCGCAGTAATGGCCTGCCTCAGTTTCCCTGGCTCTCCAATGAGTAGGACCCTGCCACCCAGCCTGCACACACATGTCAGGTGCTCTCCTAGAGCGGGGATGTGGGTCTCCCTCACGCTGCTTACCTGACATCAAGCCCTGTTTACACTGATGACCAAGAATGGCAAATCATGCGATACATTCAGCATCGACTGGAGAGAGGCAGTTTCCAGCTAGTTCCCTTCTGTTCCTTTGTCAGCAATAGTAAAACTCCAGGCACTGCTCTTGGACAATAAACACTACTGAAACGACATGTGCCACTGTGCCAGGTCCCTCTCTGCTGTGTTGGGGAGCAAGCCTTGCTCCAGAGACTGTAGAGGAAGCTGCCAGATCCCTTTCAGATTGGTCTGTGTGAGGCTAGCAGCTGACATTTTGGAAGGAAATAACCTCTTCTCCTCCCTGAAGCACAGCAGCACCAAGGCACCCTGGTGGAAGCCTGGCTCTCACTGTGGAGCATACAATGATAGGCAACAGACAGCACACCCCTTCACGCTGCCCCTTGTTGCCTGGGGTTGGGGCACCCAGCTGCCTGGAAGTGCACTGTTGGCTGTTAGAGCAGTGCATGGGGCCCAGGGTGGGCAGAGCAAGGAAAACAGCTGTTCCTGCCATGTAAGTATCTCCTGCACTGGGAGGAAGGGACTAGCAGCTTTCAACCCCACAGTGAGTGAGCAATTTGGTGTGGAGGGGGGTCTCTCCTCCCTAGCAGAAGGATCTTCAGGGCCCAGCAACTTACATGCTCCCTTAGTGAAAGTTTCTTAGGCATGGGAGAGCAGCTGGCCTGATATGCCAGTTGAAATGCTTCCTCACCCCAAACTTAAGATGTGGAGTGCAGGCCTCCCTCAGGGCTGCCAGGTTTGTCTGATAGTCCCTGCCCAGTCTGCTAAAAGTGAGGGCACCTGTGCACATGTTTAGGTTGGTACTGTGACTCAGTAGACTCTGCAGTGCCTGCCCAACAGAGAAAGTAGCTCCCAGGGTGTTACCTTTGCCACCAGGTCCCTGGCTCTGACCCAAGTCCAGGCTCAAAGGGAGGTGGGGGGTGCACAGCAAGACATCCAGCTCTATGCAGGCAGTTGCACTAGGCATTTTGCCCCTACTGCAGCTCAGGTTAAGTAGATTTCAAGTTCATCCCAATCCCTACCCCTTACCATGTTGGCAACTAACAGGAATTAATTGGTAGACTAATTAACTGGAGTTACATAATGTACCAGAGCCTCCAAACCAGGTGAGCCTGGGAGAGCAGGTTCTGGATGGGAAGCAACTAAGAGCATGTGGACTTAGGGAGAGGATGAGAAACCACCTACCTGCCAGTGCCTTCATTGTGGGGAGGCGACAGCATTTTCTTGCCAGACAGCAGCTCTAGCAGGCCTGGGAATTTTCTGCGACAGTGGCAGAAACCCCTCAGTCAGCAGGTTTCAGTCTTGTTTCACAGTCTCAGAACAGCTGCAGCTGGGGGAAGGCAGCAGGTGAGTCTGTAAGGCTGAGGAAACAGCCCCTGCTGAAGGAGCTGCAGGGGTACAGGGAGTTTCACCAGCAGACACCTGGTGCAAGGCAGCAGTGCACAGCAAATCCACCACGTGCCTGGGACAGCTCTTCAGCAGCAGCCACAGGCAGAGACTGACAGCAATCTGATCTGGAGCCTGAGCTCCACCCAGCTCCTGAATCTTCCACAAGGACCTGCAAAAGAAGCACAGGGACCTGAACTGGCAGGCAGCCTACCCGGCACTCCCTGTGTGGGCACAGATAAACAGCTCAGGGCAAAGAGGTCCATCAGACTGCCTGAGGCAGACCTGCTACTGGCAGGCAGAAACAACTGGCCACCTCTTCTGGCACTGCCGATAGGCACTAGAGATGTGGAAGAAAATCAGTGCACTCCTCCTGGTGGTGACAGGTTTCAGAGACCTAACCAGGAAAGCAAGGGACCCCGACAGCCCACTTTGACCAGTTCATATCCTGCTTCAGGTATGCACTGTGGAAAGCCAGGAACCTCTTCATAAACAGATGCTCAGACTCCCCAGTTAAGGACTGTCTAAAATGGAACTAAGTGAAAAGTACTGGTACTACAAAAAGACCAAAGAGATCAATGGGAAAGAAATGGCAGACCTCATTTGGTGGAGGGGGGCCTGGCATAGACTTTTTCAGGGGCAAGCCCTCTGAGGAGAGCAGTGGGTGGGGGTACGGGTGGGGGTGATGGTGCAAACTGTGTAACGGGTTTCTAGGGTGCGGTGATCTTCCAAGTGAGCCACAAAAGCCACTTGGCAGAGTGTAAAGATATATATAAAATAAATATTTTTGCAAAAAAAAGAACTGCTGCTTTCCTTGCTGTGGATGGACATCGCTGGTCCTAAGCCCCCACAGGAAGCACAACCACAATTACCAGTCTCCCTCAAGTAGCAAGGTAATTCAGGGCTGTAGCTCCCATTCTGGGGCAAGAGTTCACCACCCATGCCTCTTTCCAGAGTAAGTGAGACAGCCCAAACTCACTTCTGCTTCCTCAGCCCTGTGGCAGTAGGGCTGACCATAGCCCTTCCATAACCCCACCCCTGCCAGTGCCTTCTCTTATGCTGGAAACACCAACAAGGGCACACTGCCCCCAATTCATAGCTTGGTTTCTCTTGGGTAAAAACCTGTTATTCCTAACCTTTGGCTCCTGTTCTTTATATACCTTGGCATGTCTTCCCAGCCTAAAATTCCTACCATCCTGCCATGGGAGAATGACATTTCCCAAGCTCCCTTGTTGTGTGCTGACCTAGGCCATGCTCCAGCGCTGGTCTCCCTTCTAGTTCTCCTGTCTTAGTTGGAGTACCTAGCGCAGCGGTTCTAAACCTTTTGAGATTCAAGACACCCCCCGAAAATGCCAGTTCTGAATTTTTCCTCAGTTTTTGTCTATTGAATGATAACAGAGCCATTCTTCCATTGCAAAAAACTGAGAAAGACCACAGTAGGCAGAATGGTTTTAACACTATCGATTCCTATTTGAAACGCCCAAGTTTATCTTGCAAATCATATTTGCACACCAGTGAATCAAATTTGCACATTTAACTGCTAATACTGTGTCATCCTGTGCACCCCTGAAAGGATCTCGAGGCACCCTAGTGTGCCATGGCACCCTGGTGGAGAATCACTGATCTAATGCTTAGACAGGAGCTCTTCCAGGTGTTTCATTTCAATGGGGGCTATGCAAGAAGCTCTAAATACCCTCTGTACCATATTCATCCCCCCTCCTCTTGGCTTAGGCAATGGGTTCAGTTGTGCTCCTCCTTAGCTTCACATATGGGAGCTGCTTTTCTGCCCTCAGCCAGGTTTCTCCCTAGCACAGAATTACACACAGGCACAAGCATTTGCCAGGCCCTGCTCATGGACCAGCATTACCTCGGATGCCCTTACATGGTTCCTCGCTCCTGCTTGCAAGCCTCTGGCTTTCAGGAAGAGGAGTGTAAGTGAACCAGCAGAGAAGAGCTCTGCCCCCCTAACAGCCAGTGCTTTTATCCAGGCACAGGGGGAAGGGAGCTGGCTCTGGATGAAATTCTTTTAAGAGCTCACACATAGCTGGGGATTTGGGAGAGGGAGGCAGTAGGAGACAGCTGAAGGGGGCCTGATATCAGGCTCTCCCTATCCTGTACCCCCCCCCAAACCTTAGCACATCTCAGCCCAGAGAGTCACTCTGGATGCTGATGCCAGAGGGCATTAGAAATTGATACTGGCTGTGCTGCTGGCTTTCACTTCCTCTGTCATGCCCACAGCACCCTCTCTCCTTCAGCTGCGGGGAAGCTCAGTGGCTTTTCTTCTCATTTGTGGAGACCGAAAGGGCCAGCCCCATGTGAGCATGCTGGTGGGGGCGGGCAGCTTGCACTATGACTGCGCTTCCTGCCTCACACTGGTTTCCGTTTGGCAGCAGCTTCGTCCTCCAAGACTCGCTCTGAGAAGCTTCCTGTTCCCCGTGTCCCAGCTCTGCGTTCGGCTTTCTCTTTGCCCTGAGCCACCTTGCAGACCATTGCAGAGGGAGCAGTGCTGAGAGACATTTTGATGAGAAAGGAAGCCAGGGGAGGGAGACAAAGTGTGGTCTCTGATGGTGCTCAGCTCATGGAGGAGCGCAAGGCTTATAGACATTGCAGCGCAGCAACCCCTGGGCAAGTACCTTCCTGGCTGACCCCTTGCATGTCTCCCAGCAGGTACTGAGCCATGGCTGTGTGGATCCAGGCCCAGCAGCTGCAGGGGGAGGCCCTGTGGCAGATGCAGACACTGTACGGCCAGCACTTCCCCGTAGAGGTGTGGCATTTCCTGTTGCAGTGGATTAAGAGACAAGCATGGTAGGAGAGATGGGGTCGCTAGAGGCCAATCTGACTCATGTCTCTTTGCTTCTTGCAGATGTTTTGCTCACTGTCATCTCCCTTACCCACAACACAAGGGCTCTAGGAAGCTGCTTTTGTCCCCTGTTTCTGTCCTCAGCTGGGTGCTTGGGGGATCAGGGGTCTCCCTGTCCCCTCCCTCACTCCCAGCCCTCTGGAGCTCAGTTATATAAAAGAAGAAAAGGAGGAAGTTGATGTGGGTAGTAATGGAAATACATGGCAGGGCTGACTGGTCTGAGCACAGGGCTTGGATCTGGGACATGCCACCTGGCTTGGCTACTGGTTTGCTGTGCCCAGATGTTCCTTGGTGCCCTGTAGGGTTGAGGGGAGGAGGTGATACAGTGCTCAGGCATATTTTGCAAAGCGTCCTTCCTATGCAGCACACTGGGTTTCAGCCTCGCCACCTCCGCAGCAATCCAGGTAGATGCCAGACAATGGGAACTGGGATGGTGCTAGATGCAGCTGCCATTAAACAGGGAATTGGTGGGAGAGAGAAATGCTCATGTGACTTGCTGGGTGGAGGGGTTTATGAGATTTTTTTCTATTAATTAAAACAGGAATACCTGCCTGAACAGAATTACACCTTCTGGCAGTGGTTTGATGGGGTTATGGAGGTGCTGAAGAAGCATTTGAAGCCCCATTGGAACGATGGGTGAGAATCCTGCTTTCCAAGGTGGCTGGTACAGCCTGGCAGAGCCCATTTCCGAGGCACACTGCAGGCCCCAGCCCCTTACTGGTTCCCTTCTCTGCCTCCTCCTAGAGCCATTCTGGGCTTTGTCAATAAGCAGCAAGCGCATGACCTGCTCATCAACAAGCCGGATGGGACCTTCCTGCTGCGATTCAGTGACTCAGAGATCGGCGGCATCACCATTGCTTGGAAGTTTGACTCCCGTGAGTTTGCTCTCTGGAGGTCATGGAGACAGACACTTGCCTGATGTAACTCCCGCCTCCAAGGTTGGAGAGGGGAGAGCTCCTGCCTGGATACGGAGCAAACCCTCTCACTGGGCTGGCTGAGCCTCCCCTGCTCTGTTCCTGCACATCAGCGCTGACTCTCCCTGGTCTGATCAGCGCAGAGCAAGCCCCCTTGTGGACATCAGGGCTTCGTAGTGCCTACAGCTCTTCCTGTCTCTGTAAGGAGATGCGTCGCTTAGGCCAGCATCACGCCCGACGTGAAGCGGGTAGGGCTGTTCTAACCGAACCAGGCTCCCTTTCTGGCATGCCCCGTACCCAGGATGCCTGTATATGAGCTCAAAATGAGCAGCATGTCTGCTTTTCTTTGTAGTCTAATTTGGGTTGCTTGAATAGCTGCATTCTTCACCTTTACAGCGATTCTTCCCTCATGTCTTAACCCCAGGGTGGTTCCTTGGGTATGCATTGGCCAATGTGATTTCTATGCCAGTAAGTCTCTTATGTGGTATTTTGTTCATGAGAACCGGGCTGCAAGGAGGTTTAAGTTAAAAGACAAATGTACTTCTCTATGATTTTGGGTAGGGCTGATCCTGGCTCAGGTAGAGGGTTGGACTAGATGACCCCGGAGGTGTCCCCCCCAACCCTACTTCTCCATGATTCAAAGCAGTCTCTTTTTAGCATCACTAGTGCCGCTCCGCAGCAAACCTGAAAGAACTTCAAGACTCCTCCTTGTTCAGGAAGGACAAGGGCAGACTGATCTCAGTTTCCTTTTTCATTGGGGCTGATGGTGCTGGCCTGTGACAGGGCGCATGTTGCAAAGAGAGAAAAGCTCTTTTCATTAAGCTGATACTTCGGAAGACATCCTCGAGACAGATATTCACAGCCATTACAAACTTGCCTCAGCACCGCAGAGTGGCCAGTTCTTGTGATCTTTGTCCTGAGAGCCTGCCTTGTTTGGTGCTGTTTTTCAAGGCCCAGCTCGTGGAGTCAGTTGATGGCATAGGGGCCTCAGCATATGGTTACACAAGCCAGGAAGTTGGTGGCTCTTGGGGAGTGGGGAAAAGCCTGACGATGGGACTCGGGTGCCACACAGAAGCTGAGAGAGCTGGGTGTGAAGGAGAACTGCCTCTTAATTGCCCTGTAGGAATCTCTGTATTGTGAAGCCAGTCTCTTGAACCTGCCTCCCCTGGTTTGAGCACAGGAGACGAGTGAGAGTGTCCTGACCCCTTCAGATGCGCCGTGGCACAGAGGAAACTTGGGAGTTCTGGTTTTCACTGTCCTGTTTCCCTCCCTTTGCATTTCCAGCTGAACGGATGTTTTGGAACCTGATGCCCTTCACAACCAGAGACTTCTCCATCCGCTCACTGGCTGACCGCCTGGGAGACCTCAGTTACCTCATCTACGTGTTCCCTGACCGGCCCAAGGACGAGGTCTTCTCCAAGTACTACACGCCGGTTCCCTGTGAGTCCACGCCAGGTAGCTCTGTCCCCCGTGGTTCAGTTTGCTTCCCTCACATTCTTTGGGTATGCTGGCTTGTGTGCGAGACTCGAGGAAGCTTATGTTGCTTTGTGCCCGCTGGGGGTTGGGTTCATTCTTGCTCTCCTGTTCTTCTCAGTGGCTTCCTGCTGTGTGGTGTGGAAATGCCCCAGACTAACAGCCCTGGTAGGCACAAGGTGATGGTTATGGTAGGCCCAATTTGCTGCTGCTGCTGCTGGCCTGGGGATGCCGCCACTCCCAGCTTGTGTTTGCAATGTGCTCTGGTATCTCCATGCCTCAGTCTTGCCTCCTCTCTCTCTCTCCCTTCACCTGCAGCTAAAGCTGTGGATGGATACGTGAAGCCACAGATCAAACAAGTGGTGCCAGAGTGAGTACATCTGTCGGTGTCCCACAAGGCCCTTAGCAGATTTTCTTCTCCTGTCCCTTCCCTGATTCTCCATGCTAAGCAAGTGCACTGCTGTGCAGGCCTCGAGTCTGGTTCCCAGCCTCTAGCGTAGCTGGGGGTTGAATGTTGCAGACCCAGCAGGGCTGCCCAAGAAGTGGGGTGCCCTGGGGGCTTAAGCTGGGGAGAGCAGACACCGAGGCAGCCAGCACTCGAGGTCTGCAGAGGCAGTGCGCAGCCCTGCCTGGTCGACCACACTACAGGTAGAGGTGGTTCATGAAACACCTGCTATGTCTGGGTGGAGTCCAGCTTGGGCAGCAGAAATGAGAGGGCCCTACCAGGATGCTTAAAAACAGCCCCAGTAACTATCTTGCCCTGTCGGGTGCAGTGAGTGGGCAAACTGAATACTGGGTGGGCAGATGTGAACAGAATAAGCTCAAGGACAATACAGGTGCTGCTTGTGCCCCCTCCTGCTGTGATTTCTGTCAGTCCATGGTTGGAGGGGATAAAGCCTTGTGACTGTGGCTACATGCTCAGACCTTGTTCCCAGGACAAACAGCACAGTTGTGACACAGGAAAAGGACTCCAGTGGATGTCCTTCCTAGACAGAGCCTGCCTGATAAACAACCCGGGCAGTAGCACTGAGGTGGCAAAAAGGGAGTCAGAACCGAAGCTGGCAAGACGGGAGCGTCTAGTCCAGCCAGGGCGGAGCTGCTGGGTCTGGGGCAGCTCCTGGTCAGGCCTTCCTGCAGTACCGAGTCCCCACATCACCTCTCATCTGTTCCAGGTTTGCCACCGCATCTGGGGACTCAACCCCTGGGTCAGCCACTTACATGGATCAAGCACCATCTCCTGCCGTGGGCTCCCAGACCCATTACAACATGTACACGCAGAAGTAAGTGCCACCACAGGCCAGCAGGAGGTGTGGGGTCAGGGCCTACCTATGCTAGTGGGGGCTGGGGTACATAGGACTGGAAGGGGACTCCTGGGCTATCGAGTCCAGTCCCCTACGTTCCCATGCCATAGTTAACCCAAGGTATCCATACGATCACTACTTCAGACCTTCAGGCTCAGCTACCAGGCACAGTGCCCCAAACACCCTGCGTATAAAATGCCACAACTGAAAGTAGGGGAGACAAGGGCACTGCCGCTGCTGTGACAGAAGATTTTAGGAAAAAGACTGTCTGACAGGTACAGAGGAAGGCCAAAAAACATCTGTGGTCTGTGCCAGTCTGACCCAGGGGAGAAATTCCTCCCCGATCCCCAATTTGGCGATCAAGAGGGTGTTTAGCAGGAGAACATCGCTGCCTGTCTGACCCTGACTCTCATGGTGTCCTCCTTTGCCAGCCCCGAGGCCGTGCTGGACCCTGAAGGGGACTTTGACCTGGACGACACGATGGACGTAGCAAGGCATGTCGAGGAGCTTCTACGGCGGCCAATGGACCATCAGTGGATCCCTCACGCCCAGTCGTGACCTGGGGGTACCTCCCCCCACACCCTGTGACAGCCCCACCTGGCAGCCACGGCCTTGGGGATGACACGGGGATGCAGCCCTCCTGAGAGCAGCCTCGTGTTCATGTCTCTGTGCCAGAGCCAGTGGTATGTGAGGGCTGGGGTGTCCTTTCCCAAGGGTTTGCTCTGAACCGTCTGCAGTGCCCCAGGGCTGCACGAGGCTCTCTGGTGTTTTATCCCCTTGTACAAAAGGCAGTGGATTTGTCGCATGGTTTTCCTGTACGTTCCTTTGAGGCCCAGCTTTGGCTTTCTGCTTCTGCAAGCTCCTGCTCTCATGGCTGTTCCCTAGTGCACCACGCGTGTCTTTGGCATCCCACTGGCTCCCTCTGGAGTCTGGATCGTTGCCTGTGCCCCAACAAGCCCCTTCAGATTTGGCAAGAGACCTGAGGGAGGTGAGGAGGGTGGCGCTCCTTAAATCCCATTTTCTGTCACTGTTACGTAGATCCAGATTCACCCTGGATCCCTAGCTGCTCTGTTCCGTGGGGGTGGGGGTGTGCGCAGGGGGTGCGGTGAGCATCGGGGTCCTGGATGGGGACGGGGAGTGTGGCAGTGGGTGAGTGCCTGAGAAGGCCACATGTGACCTCTCTTGGGCATCCCACCCTGCCAAGGCAAGTCTGTGTCCAGAAGCTGCTCCCATGTTGGGGATGATCAGGCTGGCAGTGCCCTGCCAGGGGCTTTCTTGCTTGGGGGTCCTTGTCAGGTCTGTCTTTGGCATGAAAAGTTCACAAGGAATTTGTGTGCCTCCGTGTTCCTGCCCCCGTGGCACCCTTGCATCAGCGTGTTGGGTGAACCATGCTGCCCTGGCTCCTCTCAGGTTTGCTTGCTTAACCAGGGGTGAGAGGAACAAGGTTGTGTCAAAGAGGGGATCCCAGGCCTGAGGCCCAGGGTCAGGGAGG